TCTGCAGTGGCCGAGGCACATCCTTCAAACGTCTGCTCTACCGTGCATTATTTGCAGGCATTGGACCACAGTGAAAAGAAACGAGATGAGCAATTTTTGCCTTGGTGTAGTTAGTTGAATAAACTATACTTTGATATGGTTTCCGGTCTGGGACCTTACAGATTCAGATTGTCGTTGACTGGAGACACTGCGATATACGTCATCGAAGGCACTGGTGGGAATTCATACTTTTCATGTGAACAAAACGAAAAGCAGAAATGCCAAGTTATTTTAAGTGTTGCAGTAAACCAAAAAGTGTTATTCACCGGCAGAAATTGATTGCTTTTTTCTTTTATCCCACATAGGTAATTTTCTCAATCCGTTTTAGTCTCTCGAGGCATATGTAAATGTTGTCGACACGTAACACGGAGTACGTTTGTTTGGATGGACGTTTCGTAGCCAATGCGTTTATTTATCGTTACCTCAATTCTATCTTCTGTCAGTGAGTTAGATGCTACTGACCGCAACAGACTTTGTCTAAGTATCTTCACAGAATATTTGACAATAAGCAGTAAATGAAAGGCCTACCCAAACGAATTTAACCGGTGTTGCAAGTGAGATATTGGTTTTGAAAATACACTTCCTGGGTTCAAGTATATGAATCAACTGACAAAAGATTACCCAGGTATGCGCGGCAGTCACTGCGAAACCGTTCGTGTGCTTCCAGTGAAAATTTTCGAGGCATTTCTATACTACTTATCGGTATATTTCTGTATGTAGTAAGTTGTAAAGGCCATCACCCGGAGAATTCTTTTCGAGTCTCGCAATTACTTGACTTATCCCATTCTGTATTGTACGGTAGCCACATGAACGAATGCCTTTTTCCTCCCGTAAATCGTATCACTATATTTTTTGAGAAGTTAAAATTAACGGGAAAAGTTAGAACCCAGAATCCAAAGTGACTTGCGGTTTGAACTTAATATTTGAGGGTCTAGTCGAGGAGATTAGTCGTATAGAAAACAAAACTATTCATATTTCAGTGGTATACATTGTACCTTTCTCAGGCTCTGATATAAACGAAGCACAATATTTGGTAATGCAGGTTCAGATTTCAAAGAGACTATCCCAAATAAGAACAAATGCCGGGTGTTGTTGCTGAATTACTACTTTCGATTTCCATTTGCCACGAAGAGTCTCCATCTTGATGTGGTGTAAATTCTGTTCGCCTCAAAGCTACAAATGATGGCTTTTATCATGCCGGAAAGGCCACAGGGTAGAGGTTTGAATGAAGATCCTCCAGGTGGGGTGTTTAACTCAAGTTGGCGTTTCAATCAGTAAAAACGGTGCAGGAGCATTTGATCTTAGTAAATCGGTCTTCTCTTCGCTTTATCCTGTCTTGCGCTAAAGTTCTAGTTAGAACTAAAGGCTTAGATTGAGACTCCACGCATTGCTCAATGGCTGGAGCACCCGTCCATCCAGCTCCAATGCATACACGATTTAACAGTGATCCAGTGCTGCATCATTTATCGCGCAGGATAATGAGGACCGCGATCCCTATAGCGTCGCATGCGGTGACTAGTGATGAAAGGGGCTACGGCTCACACATTACAACCTTTGCTCAAAATTTTGTCCTCCATGTCCAGTACTATTTCTTTACCTCTTCTTTAGACTCTCAGCATTCCATCATTCCTGTTTGTCACTGGCCGAAGCTTGTTACCAAAAAGCGCTATAATTTACCACTAAGTATATTCTATATTCTGAACTCATAATGCTCTTTCGCTCTGGAGATCAACTTAGGGACCGAACCCGTGGACCAACAGATGTAACGGGGAACCGAATTCGCACCATGGTACCGTGAGCAACGTCGATACGATGGAGATATTCTCGAGGTACGTACTTCGCTAATCACTTGAGGATGAAGCTCATTCAAAAGGTCAGCTCGGACTAGGTATTGCATTTAGAATGGAGTCGAAGCCTCAGTTTCCCTGTTTATATGCGATTCGGCTCCCGGGAGTGAATTAGTTTCCAAAAGCTAAGCAATATCAAAAGGTGTTCGATCATCATATTGGCATACACACCGACCACTAACAGTTCTGGTATACAAAACACGATTTCTACGAACCGAACTCACCCAATTGAATCAAAGCTCCCGCATATTTGTACTTCCAGATAACCTGACGCACATGTTGGAAAACGGAGCGCGTCAGAAGCTTGCCTAGGCGGTCGTTGTGCTCTGCCCTGCCAGGAAACAGATAACGGTGATCGACTTCTTCAGTTCTGCGCATATCATGATTTCTTCTTATCCAGTACCAACTTCCCACAGCTCTCAACGGACGGCAGCGTGGCGCTCCAGTTCAACTGGTGGGTTAACTCAAATCGACCACAGCAGTAGGCAACCGCTGGCGTGGCTCAGTGCAAAGTTTCAGGTCCTATGGGATCACCTGCGTTTAGTCTGACCGCGTATTAGTGTCGATGCAGTTCCGTCTCTAACTCATTGGTTGGCGGCAAAACCAGTAGAACCGGAAAGCTCATCATCGCCTGTCTATCCTAGCAGTTCGTGCACGCTGAGTCGGAACTGGTGCGTGAGCGCGCCTCAACGTGACGGTGTAGACTTGCAGTGAGATCAGACTAGTCAGTTACTGCATTCAGCAGCGAATATTCCTTGCGGGTCTGACCTTCAAGCCCGTTGGAAACATTCTGTGTGTCATGAGTCAGTAGCCTTGGCGGAGAGAAAGCGATGAATCCCGACCTGTTAGGATCAAAACAGGGGTAAGTGGCGTCTGAAGCGCCGCCTAACAAACAGCCTCAAGGGCAAAATACCCAGTGAAATAGAAGTAGCAGCTGCATTACTGAATGGTCCAAGACTGTTCCGATTGATGCACTATACGACAGTTGGGCGAGATCCAGTTAGTGAAGCGGTGTGTGATAGAAGGAGACAAGGTAAACACAAGAGGGTACAACGGCTTGATCGGCGGCCAGAGTACGTCAACCAACGGCTAACCTAGCCCAATTGCCTCATCCGAAACCGAAG